ATCGTTCATTTCTCTGGGATAAATCCCCAGGAGCGCAATTTCGGGCCACATGGTCATTGCACATTAGGTTTTTTTTGTTGTTTTTTAAGACACTGCTAAACTGTTTTTCCTCCAGTGGCTATACCATTGTACATTCCCACTAGCAATATAGGAGTGATCCATTTTTCTGCATCTTCACTAGCATTTGGTGTTGTCACTTGTAAATTTTAGCCATTCCAATATGTGTATAGTGATATCTCATTATAGCTTTAATTTGCATTTTCCTGAAGGCTAATAATATTGAATATCTTTTCATGTGCTTATTTGCATCTGTCTTTCCTCTTCATTGAAGTCTCCTTTCATACTTTTGCCTATTTTCTAAGTGGGTTTGTTTTTTTCACTGTTCAGTTTAGAGAGTTCTTTATGAATTCTAGACACTAGTCCTTTGTCAGACATGTGATTTGCAAATATTTTTTCCCAGTCTGTAGCTCATCTTTCACCCTCTTACCAGGATTTTCTCAATGTGAAAGTTTTTCATTTCGATGACATATCCATTTTTCCTTTGATGGATCATATTTTTGATGTTAAGTCTCAGAATGCTGCTTTTAAATCTTGAAGACCCTTTCATTTTATTTGTAATTTTGCATTTAGGTCCATTTTGCATTTGAGTTTTTATTTTGATTATTGTATTCTTCATTTCCAAAATTTCCATTTGATTCTTCCTTATATCTTCTCTTTCCGTGCCAAGACTTTGTAGTTCTTTTCTGAGACTTTGCATTTTTTCATGTATTTCAAGTATATTCATAAGTTTATCAAAGCATTTTTATAAGAGCTGATTGAAAATCTTTGTCAGATAATTCTGACAAGTTGGTTTTTTCATCTATTTTTGCCTTTTCTCATTTCCCTGCATTTTGGAATAAGGAGTAATTTTAGATTAAAATCTGAATATTTTGGGTATTATAAGACTCTAGGTCTTAATTAAACCTTCAGTTTAGCTGGCTTCTTCTGATACCCCTCTAGCAGGGGGAGTAGGAGAATGCTGTCTCATTACCACCCCAGGCAGGGTAAAAGTCCATGTTCCCCGTCAACCTCCATGGACACCCAAGGAAAGGGGAGGGTGCTCATTACAGCTGGTGAGGATGGGAGTTCTTACTCCCCACCAGGCCTCTGCTTAGACTGCTCTGGCTGTGAGTGGGGGGAATGCCTTGTTACTGCTACCACTGCGTCTCCAAGACCCCACAGGGAAGTGGGTAGGGATGATCTTGTTATGCTGGACAGGGGTGAAAGTCCTTACTCTCCACTAGGCCTTCTCTGACACCACCCCAGTGGAAAGGGAGAAAGGTGCCTCCTCACTGCCAGGTCGGGGTGAAAGTCTCCCCGTGTCTTTTACTGCTTGGCAGGGATGAAAGTCTCTGCTCCCTGTTGACCTGTGACACCACCCCAACAGGGAGTTGGGGTGCCTCATGATAGCCTGGTGAAGGTGGGAGTATAGACTCCCAACCTGACCTTTGCTGACATGGGTGAGGGTGGGGCCACAATTTTTTTCTGTGGCGTTTGGAGTAAAGCAGATATTGTCCACAAGTTTTCTTACTTGTTTTGCTGTCCATTTCCTGGTCCTCTGTGTTTCTTGGTGCTGTCTGGGTTGCCGGCTTCTCCACCTGCAAGTCTAAGATATGTGAGGTAAAAAGAAAATGCAGGAAGCTCGCAGTCATGTCATTCCTCAGGTCCTGAGTACCCTACCTAGTCTGCCTTCTCTCTACCTGTCAGAGGCTTCTTATGTCTGTCTTACATATAATCCCCATGTTTTTAGTTGTACTTGGTGGGAGAAATAGGAAAAACTATGTTTACTGTTTTCCTGGAAACAGAGTTAGTTTTTCCACTTTAAAAATTATGAGGTATGGGGAGCCTGAGTGGCTCAGTCAGTTAAGCGTCCAACTTCAGCTCAGGCCATGATCTCACAGTCCATGAGTTCAAACCCTGCATCAGGCTCTGTGCTGACAGCTCAGAACCTGGAGCCTGCTTTGGATTCTGTGTCTCCCTCTCTCTCTGCCCTTCCCCTGCTCATGCTCTGTCTCTCTCTGTCTCAAAAATAAAGAAAAACATTAAAAAAATTTTTTTTTTAATTACAAGGTGTATGTTTGCATTTTCCCAGTCTTCAAGTGTATCTGGCTTCCACTGGAAGTAGGAAAAGGAAAAGAGTTTATGGAGGATGGAAAACATCATTGTTATTTTATCAGAAATTTATTTTTAAAGGATTTTAGTCTTTATTTCATATTGTTTTGTATAGTTTGAATACATCTTTTTTTTTTTTAAGTTTATTTCAAGAGAGACAGAGAGAGTGGACAGGGGAGGGGCAGAGAGAGAGGGAGAGAGAGAATCCCAAGCAGGCTCCACACTGTCAGTGCAGAGCCCTATGTGAGCCTGAAACTCATGAGATCATGACCTGAACTGAAACCAAGAGTCAGACATTCAACTGACTGAGCCACCGAGGCACCCCTCGTTTGAATATATTATCTTTAAAAAACTGCTGAGTTCAAAATAAAATATTTAATTCTTTTTTTAATACAGTACTAAAGGAATTTTAAAAGGGAAAAATAAAGACTCCCTGACATAATTTTTCCCCTGTTCCTTTCCAGTTTCTTCTGTATGTACATTTCCCATGGTATCATATATGTTTATGCACATATACATACACATATAGTTTATTGTCCTACCATTTTACTTTAATTAACGTATTTTTCATGTTGACGAATAGTCTTTATACCACTTTCAAGTTGATTTATCTTTAATTCTCTCAGCCATTTCTGTGTCTCCATTTAATCACTGTTTTAAATAGCATGCTTATGAGCGTTATTATACATTCAGCTCTTTTCTTCTCATGAATTATTCTACTGCAGTAAATACATTGGTATTCAATTATTCAGTCAAAGGGTCTGAACATTTTTATGGCTCTTGATCTGTACTGCCAAATTGCCTTCTTGAAGAATTTGAGCACCAACTATGATTTGTGAAGCATGCTATGCTAGGCTCCAAGATAGCTGAAACAAATTTAAAATGAAGGAGCAAAAATAAAATTGGCATGCTTGTGTTCATACTACTTTTCATCCACTCTATCTAACCACTGAAGGTGCATTCCCTCCCCTCATCTTCTGTGTCTCACAGTCTCTTGGTTTCCCTCCTCCCTCCCTGGCTTCTCAGCTTCCTTTCCAGACTCTCATTCCCCTGCTTGTTCCTTACCAGTCTTTAGGTTCCTATCTAGAATGGTCCTCCTCCTCTCACTTCCTGCCTTCTCCTTGGCTCATGTTATCCCATCCCAAGGCTTCTCACATTCTTCTGTATCTGTATCTTCACCAGAGGCATTTTTCCAATTTTTTTTTAATGCTTATTTATTTTTGAGAGACAGAGACAGAGAGGGATCAGGGGAGGAGAAGAGAGAGAGGGGGACACAGAATCCAAAGCAGGCTCCAGGCTCTGAGCTGTCAGCACAGAGCCCGAAACAGGGCTCAAATTCATGAGCTGTGAGATCGTGACCTGAGCCAAAGATGGACACTTAACCGACTGAGCCACCCAGGCGCCCCCATCTTTCCAATTTAAATCCCCATTCCCCCTTCTTGGTCTACCATCCACTGGCCTCTCTGCTCCAGGCAGAAATCCAGGTGTCATCCTTTATTCCTTTTTCTCTCTCCCCTGCCACATCCAGTTCATAACAAATTTTTATCAATATTGTGTTCTAAATATCTCTAGAATCCACCACTTGTTTCCATCCCCACCACCCTGTTCTAGTCCCTGTGGTTTATCACATGGATCCCTACAGTAATCTCTGGTTTCCCTGCCACGTGACATCCAAATGATCTTCCTAAAGGACGTTCTCTCTTTTGTCTCTGGGCCTTTACCCATTTTATTTTTTAAGACATCCTCGAGCACCCTTTTTTTCCTCTCTGTTCTCATCTATACCAACACCTTCTCCCAACACACCTACATACACGCGAGTATGCACACACCTGTCCCTTTATGTTTTCCTAGTTTGTGCCTACTCATCCATCAGGACTCAGATGGCTTACTACTAGTTTAATCTACTCACTTATTTACTTATCTTTTTTTACTCACTAAATTGTAAGCCCTTTAGGGCAGGGATATGTCCTAGTGCCTGCCAAAATGCCTGGTGCTTGAGTAATTTAAAAAAAATCTTTAGGGGTGCCCGGATGGCTCAGTTGGTTAAGCAACCAACTTCAGCTCAGGTCATAGCTCACGGTTTGTGAGTTTGAGCCCCATGTGGGGCTCTCTGCTGTCAGCACAGAGCCTGCTTCAGATTCTCTGTCTTCCTCTCTCTCTGCCCCTCCCCTGCTTTCACTCTCTCTCTCTCTCTCAAAAATAAATAAAATAAACATTTTTTAAAAACAAATTATAAAAATTTTTAAAAATCTTTATAAGCTGTGTCTGCCCAATGTCATACTTAAAGTTGAAAAGTGAAAAATTCATTTAACTGGTTGTTTTGGTATAGACAAAAATCTTTGATGGGTCATCTCCCTGAATGTGAGTTAAAAAAAAAAAAAGGACTCATCTGTATTTAAAGTTTATTTATGAGAGTAAGATAACCGTTCTGCTGTAGAATTCAAGTTGGAGGGGTGCCTGGGTGGCTCAATTGGTTAAGCATCCAACTTAGGCTCGGGTCATGATCTCACAGTTTGTGGGTTTGAGCCCTGCAGGGGTCTCCGTGCTGACAGCTCAAAGCCTGGAGCCTTTTTCAGATTCTGTTTCTCCTTCTCTCTCTGCCCTTCCCCTGATCATTCTCCCTCTCTCTCTCCCTCTCTCTCTCTCTCTCTCTCCCTCCCTCTCTCTCTCTCTCTCTTTCTATCTCTCAAAAACAAACATTAAAAATTAACAAAAAAAAAAGAATTCAAGTTGGAAAATTGGCTTGTAGCACTGTTAGGGTTTTTTTTTTTTTTTTCCTCCATATTCTGCTACTGTAATGAACATTTTGACAGGTTTTTTTTTGTTGTTGTTGTTATATTTGCACCAAGTCCTGAACTAGGAGAAAGTAAGCAGAAGGAAATTCCTGAGGAGTCAGTAGAGGAGGGCACTTTGCCAAAAGAGAGGCAGGAGGAGGAGGACTCACAACAGAACCAAGATATGAAAGGCGGAGAACAACAGTTGACCTTGAAGCCTGAGGAAACTGTGAGGCTTAGAGAAGAGCTGAATTGTGTAAATCGGAGCTTCCTTCCACCTCAGAGCTCTGGGGATAGTTCAGATGACTGTGGTACCCAGGTAGGTGCTGTAAACACATGCTCTGACTGGGTCCATTTCCTCTGGTCAGCTGTGGATATAGGCATAATTTTTACATCACCATCAGTGTGTTTTGCTAAGCACGCTCAAAACCATGGCCTGAATGGTAATCAAATAGCAACCAAAATCTGAACTAAGCCCGGTCGTTGATGCCCTTTGTTATAAAGGGCTCTTAGGCTCGGTTAGGCTCCGCAGAAAAGAATGCTGATTGGTTGTCAATGTCTGCCCTGGGGAGGTAAGACAGGGAAGGGCAGGATTTGTGCCACATTTCCTGTTCATTGCACCTAGCTTAGATGTACAAAATAATTTGTTTGGGTGGGGAAGAGATCACAGACTTGGAATTAAGTTTGGCTTTTGCTATTTACTAGAGATCTACCTGCTGGAGAGATCAAGAGAGTGACGACCAACCACACTTCAGCTCTTCCAGCTCAATTTTGCAGGTTCTCTCTTATACAAATTAAGATATCCCTACACATACCTTTCTAGGAATTATTCTGAGATCCACAGAGGGAAGCCTTTGTACACATAAGTAAACTAACTTCAAAAGACTGACCATAGGCATTTAAAACTGGATTCAAGTGTATATTTGGGCGGGGGTTGGGGGGGAGAGGCAGAGTAATAGTAAAGGAAGTCAAAAAAACGTTTGAAAAGAGATTCAGATAATAGAGTCTGAAAACTAGGCAAGTCACAGTAGAGAAAGAAAATAGATACCTGAAAGGAGATTCAGATACATTTGAAAAAGAAGGGAGTCTCTGGGTTTGTTCAGAAGACCAGAGGGATCTAGGACATCAAATGTTCAAAAAGAAGTTCATTTTCAAGCCCCCAGGCAGTCTGTTTATTGGGAAGTAAGCCAGTGTAGGCAACTTGGAAAGAGGCTGAGCACTGTGGTCACAAAGATTATAAAATCTTTTGTTTATGAGCTTAAAATGATCAATGCACTTACAGAGTAATGAGTTGAAGAGTATGAGAAGCAACACCCTAGTTAATTTATTAATTTTATTTAATTTATACTTTCTCATTATTTGAAGAATCATTTCTCAATACTAGGGGGGATGTGACAACTATTAAATATATATGAATTATATGGGAAATCTGGGCAAATAGCCACTTTGTGAAAGGACAAATAGCCCTTTATGCCACACAGCTTCTTAGGGTTTCACTGAATTCTTGCAGAGTTCAGTAATTTTATTCCACAATAATGACTTTGAATTATTGAAAGAAGAGTAAGTTGCTCTTACTCGTTTATCCAGCTGTTGTTAATTGAGCATCTGTGATGGGTCAGGCCCCGTGTTAGGGCCCATACAGCAGGAAACAAACTAGATATGGGCTTCATGGGAAAAAATAACGTATTCGTGTTTTGAACTTTACATTTCCCAAAACAGTATAACACACACTATTTCATTTACTTCTTTAAGGAGGCAAGGATTTTGGACAGACTTTAGTGTTTCTGCAGTGTGCTGTGCAGTGATCATTTCAGAACCTTTTTCTGTGTAGAGGGTGCTTGGATCTACTGGTGGCTATAAATTGTTGTACTTTTTAGTTCTTGTGTATGTGAGGGTTGTGGTCTTCACCCTGTTGTTGGATTACAGTGTCTAGTGCCTAGCTGATTGTTCATGTGTGCTGCATCTTCTTAATCTCATAACATACACATTTAAGCAACGATAGCTAGGGGTGCCTGGGTGGCTCAGTCGGTTGAGCGTCCAACTTCGGCTTAGGTCATGAACTCACTGTTCGTGAGTTCAAGCCCTGCGTCAGGCTCCGTGCTGACAGCTCAGAGCCTGGAGCCTGCTTTGGATTCTGTGTCTCCCTCGCTCTCTCTCCTTTCCCTGCTTGTACGTCTGTCTCTCAAAAAATGAATAAATGTTAAAAAAATTTTTTGTTAAGCAACTGTAGCTTGAGACTAGATATCAGACTTTAAAGAATGCTTATTGATAGTGAATACATAGAAAAAGAATGGCGAGAGCCTCTTTTATGAGTAAGTACATGAGCTCTATTGTTCATATGTATTTGTGACATCATTTGTGGCTGTCAGTTGCCTTTGGTGGCTTAACTGCTGTTCAACAGTGTTCCAGGTACGATTGTAATAGCTGAATTCTAGATTATTACTTTCCCCACATTCATGAAACCAACCGGAATCACCATTAATTATCTGAATGTTATAGGTTTAAAATCTAGTTTCATGGTTTTACATAGCATTATTGAATATTTACTATGTTCCAGGCACTACACTAAATACCTTGTGTATATTAAGCAACACAACAAGACAGGATATTATTGTTGCCACTTTATAGATGAGGAAACTGAGCCTTTAGAGAGGTTAAATAATTTTCCCAGAATAACACATTGTGATGGAACCTGGGTCTGTCTACTCTAGAGCTTGACCTTTTAGCTGCTATTTGATTTGTTTCCCCCTGCTGAGAAGTTCAAAGAAAGCATACACTTCTCATGTAGAGCTAATTTCCTGAGGAAGGCTGACAAACTGTCTCCCAAAAGGCCTCTCAGGGTGTCTGTTATAGATTATCTGGGTGAATTCATTCAGGGTTTGATGTAGGCTTGTAGGATTGATGTATTAGTCCCCCTAGAATGGATCTGTGTCTTGGGGATAAACTCAAACCAAACTTTTGAGACTATTGGGTAAAATCAGAATGGCTGTTAGTTATTATTCTGTAATGACTAATCATAATTATCACTTGAACTTGTTTAAATAAACAGCACATTTACCTGTAGAGAGTGAAGAAAAATCAAAATCTGAAGGATGTTTGCTGAGTAGAGAGTCAGAACAAGTGGACTTTGTTTGTTGAGTGACACATTCACAGGTTGGATAGCCCGTTCCATCCACATTCACTGGATGAGAATATTTAAGGTTCGTAAGCTTTAATTGTTTCCACAAAAGGAATGATCTTGTCATTGGGACCAGTATATGGATTTGGTTCATATTAGATTTTTCTTTTGTGAAGACAATATTTTAAAATATTAAAAGCTAGATTTTAAGCCTATAAAATTAAGATAATTAGTACTGGTTCCATTTTTATTTATTTTAATTCTTAAGGAATTATGAATTCCTTAAGAAGAGACATTACGCGTCATCTGGTCTTATGCCTTTAATTTGCAGATGAGTCAGCTGAGACTCAGAGAGGATAATTGCCTTAATAAATCTGTTGATTGATCAAGAAAGGATGCTTGTGTACTTTCCTTTGCACTCCTACATGGTTCCTAGTAGCCTGGCTGAGTCTAACCGCCTCTGTAATAACTTTCTACCAGGAAGCAATTTACATGTGGGGAAAAAATAAGGACCCTGTATGTTGGTCACTTGACTGTTTGGTAGCTTCTTTAATGGTTGCCTTTCATGAAAAATAATTTGCATTTCTACTCTGGCAAAGTGACTTGACTAGAAAATGTAGGCAAGAAAAACTATTGTTCTGGCTTTTCTCATCTTCAAAACAGGCTAAAAACTTCTGTACATGGGTGTAAAGGGGGTGCTTCTCTTGTATATCTTGGGCATGTTAAGCGGCCATATGGGCCGCCGATTACTAATTGATTATTAAAAGCTGCTGTTGTCTGATAGTTAAATAAGAAGCTGGACTTGTGATCAAGGCTTTCCAGGCTTCAGGAGAACTCTTGTTTCAGGTGGAGCAGAAGGCAGTTAAAATAAAATTGGGTAGCATCCACAGTAATGGGTAGTGGGTAATGGGCGGTGTCACTGAGTGCTTCTTGTGTACTACGTCATGCTGAGTTCTTGCATGCGTTATCTTACTTACCCTTCACTCCATCCAGCAGTTATCATTATTATCCCCATTTTAAGATGAGGAAAATGAAAAGCAGAAAGACTAAGGATCTCCTCCAAGACAGATTCAGGACTGAAACCCAGATGCATCTAGTTCCAAAGATAGGGTTCTTAATAACTACATTATAATTCCATTAAAGAATTTTTTTCTAGGTATCTTAGACACTTGCAACTCTGGGACAAGCAAATTGGATTTAGACTACCTTTTTGAATATACCAAGATGAGAATTGAAGGGCTTATAGGACTTGGGCAATTCTGTGTTGCAGTTCTGTTGTAAGCAAGAGAGACTAATGACATGGGCTTTCTGGGAAGTCATGGACAGGAAGTACACTGGACCAGGACTCAGGAAACTCTATATCTTATCTGTTAACTGGATACAGTTGAATTCTTTATCTACACAGCACACCGATGTGAGCCTACCTTTTAGAGAATCCAAATGACTCCTCCTTTGGTCAAGGTGGTTTTATTGCACTGGAGACCTGACAGGAGGGTGTATGGTTGTCAAATAGTAACTGAAGAAGAATCATCTGGTAGTAACAGGGAAAGTGATGAGGAAGGCTGAAAATTTAAGATCTCCTGCTAAATGTTCTTTCTTTTTGCCAACAGACACCGCACACATGCACACATACTACATACACATTCACACTTTCCTTCTTCACATATTGACTCTTTGAACTTTCCATTGAAATATTTTACCCTAAAATGGTCCATGCTTCTGTTTCCCTTCATTGATGTGAAAAATAAGAAAGTTAGTTGTCTATGCTTAACTGCTTTGCCTAAATAATTTCTTTGATATGTTCATTCTAAAATAACAAGAGTTAAATCATACGAACATGTACCAACTAAACATAAGTATAAAAAGAGTAATTTGCTATAGGTAAGCCAACTCCAAAAATATTTACCTATGAATAATCAGGTCCTGACATTTCTGCTTCTGATAGCTGGAACCCACGTTTTACCAATATTCTTTCAAATTGTCCATGTTTCTCTTTTAAAATGTTTGTTTTAGTATCTATCATCTGGAGAAAAACAGAAATACCAGCAGCAAGAGGATATACAACAGCTTCGCCAGAATTTACACCGGCTCCAGATTCTGTGCAGCTCAGCCGAAAAAGAGCTCCGGTATGAGCGAGGAAAGAATTTGGACTTAAAGCAGCATAATAGCTTACTTCAGGAAGAAAACATTAAGGTAACTCTGGTGGGTGTGTCCTTGATTGGAGAGTCTCAATTGCTTAATCACCCCTGTGGATAAATGAATTAGAACTCCTCAGCTGCATAGTTCATGATAGGATCCACAGATGTGTGGACAATGTGAGCTCTCTGATAACTCCCTCTGACTCTGCCCTACCAAGTAGGTACACAGTTCAGTTGTTTCTCTGCTGCTGAAGCTGTGTGTATACTGTCAACCTGTCAATGTGAAACACTTTAAGTTATACAATCTTTTGAAATCATTAGCTACAACTTTTAACACTTAATCGATTTGAACCACCTGACCCCAAACACTAGTGGTCTTGACCTAGTTCTAGCTGCAGTCTTATTTATTCCCTAAGAGATGTATCCATTATTACTGGTTGAATCAAATATCAACTGCACCGAGGTACAATTCCTAGGAGGGCAAACTTGTTCTTCCTGACTCAAGACTATCAAAAAGTTAGGAGGACATCCCCTAAACATGCCTGTTTTAAAATAACCTATCGTGGATGCCTAGGTGGCTCAGTCATTAAGCATCTGACTTCCACTCAGGTCATGATCTCATGGTTTGTGAGTTCAAGTCCCAGATCAGATGAGCACGAGCCACACCTCGGGTAAAACACGAGTCCCATTTCAAGTGGGCTCTGCTTCCTCTCTCTCTCTCTCTCTCTCTCTCTCTCTCTCTCTCTCTCTCTCTCCCTCTCTCTGCCCCTTTCTCACTTGTGCCCTCTCTCTCTAAAAAAATAAACAAGTAAAATAAATAAAATAATCTATGGAGAACTGTCATCCACAGAGTCATCTAAATTTTGTGAACCACATAAATATTCAAACTGAACCATCATGTAAAGTAGTGCTTCCTTTTAATTGAGGTTCAATTCTGTAAGCATATATCAGGGACCTAGTTTCTATAAGTCCCCATCTAAAGTTCTGGAATTCAACATTCAACAAATATGTGCTAAGCATCAGTCATATCCTGGGCAGGCAATCTTGTTGATACCGAAGGTTTAATTGTAGGTAAAACCAATACAATTCTTATCCCCTGGTTAGTAGGGACCCATCCAGAGTCAAATCCTGCCTACCTTTTGTTTTTGTAAATAAAACTTTATTGGCACACAGCCATACCTGTTTGTTTACATATTATGGATGGCTGCTTTTGTACTACAAAAGCAGATTTGACTAGTTCTGACAGAGACCATGTGGCCCACAAAGGCTAAAATATTTGTGCTCTTGACCTTTTATAGGAAAATTTGTCACATCTGGTGAGGCAGGAACAGGGTAACTTATTCCAATAGTGACATAAAAATGAATTAAGGGGCACCTGGGTGGCTCAATCAATTGAGCCTCTGACTCTTGATTTCAGCTCAGGTGATGATCCCAGGGTTGTGGTATCTAGCCCCGTGTCAGGCTCTGCACTGAGCATGGAGCCTGCTTAAGATTCTCCCTCCCTGCCTCTCCCCTGCTCACAGGCCCTCTCTCTCTCTCTCTCTCTCAATAAAAATAAAAAATAAGATAAAATTTTAATAAATTAATCAAGAAACGTCCCTACTTTTTAGTAACTCACAATCTAGTAGAGGAGATACAGATGAAAACAAGCAGTCATTTATGTCAAACTTTAAGGGAAGCCTTTCTTTTTTTTTTTCTTTTCAATATATGAAGTTTATTGTCAAATTGGTTTCCATACAACACCCAGTGCTCATCCCAAAAGGTGCCCTCCTCAATACCTAAGGGAAGCCTTTCTAGGGAGTCCTAGTGTTCCAGGATTATTTGAATAAACCTCTTTCTTACCCTCAGTCCTCATGATTTTTTTAATATTGGTCACATTCTCTCAAGCCTTTGTAGTTTTAAATTAAATTCCAAATCTTTATCACATTTCCTTATAACACATTTCTGAGATCCTCTTAACTATCTAACTCTGAAAATATTCAAGCAATACTACATCTTTCTTAAGGTGTGATGATCGGACAACACAGATTATAATGCCTTATCTGTGGTTGACACCCTAGAAATTTTTGTTGAATTAATGAATGAGTCCTTCAGGGATAGGTAAATGATAAATTGGTAAAAAGTGAAGCCATCTTTTGTTCTGTTTTAAATCCCTTCATGGTGGGATAAAATATTGGCCATTCCAGTAATGAGACATCAGTGTTTTGGCTGATCCCTTAGGCCAGGCACCTAAGCAAAGTCATATATAACAGCCAATTACCTTTTATTGACAGTTTGTCTGTTTTATCTCTTATGAACCTCCCTACAGCCCTAAAGGGTCAGCATTTTATAGATGAGAAACTATTCAGTATTGCAAAGCTAACAAATCATGGAGTCAGAATTTAAATTCAGGTCTGTTTCTCTTTTTCCTATGAAGGAATCTTTCTGTATTATACCTTTCCTCATTTTGGAACCTCAGCTTTGCAAACTTAGAACTCACTCTTTAAAATCCACTCAGAGATGATCAAACTCTGGGGCTCTGGCTAATGTTAGGCATACTTATAAGACTGATTAAGAAACCAGAGAATGGGATGCTTGGATGGCTTGGATGGTTGAGTGCCCAACTCTTGATTTTGGCTCATGTCATGATCCCAGTGTCATGGGATCAAGCCCCAAGTTGGGCTCTGCACTGAGCATGGAGCCTGCTTAAGATATTTCTCTCTCTCTCTCTCTCTCTCTCTCTCTCTTTCCCTCCCCTACGCACACACATACACTCTCTCTCAAATAAGAAAGAAACTAGAGTATTAATTTATTACTTTTAAACCATTTTATTATGAAATATAACACTCAGAAAGTACATAAGTATATAGTTTAACAAATTGTTATAAAGCAAGTACCCATATAACCACCACTCAGGATAAGAAATAGCGCATTGCCTGCACACCAGCAGCCCCTGCCTACCTCTTTCCCATCTATAATCCTGTCGCCTTCCCATTTTAGCAGTAACCACTAATCTTGATTAATAACTCTTTTGCTTTACTTTATAGTTTCACCAACTGTGAATCTCAAACAAAATAGTTTTGCTGATTCTTGAATATTTTACAAATACAATCAATCAGTGTATGCACCTTCTATCTTTTTATGACCTACTTGTTTGGAACATTCACCCATGTTGTGCTGTATACTATTGTTCGTCCATTTTCTTTGCAGTATAGTATTCCACCATAAGAAATTGCCATTACCTATTCTTTCTATGGTTTATGGGCATCTTGTATGTTTCCAGCCTGGGCTATTAAGAAGAATGCTGTAGGCTTTCAGAGCTTCAGGCAGAGAATTGTTCTGACATCACCAGCACTGAGACACTGAACTGGATCCTCTTACTGGTGTTTGAACATCCCAGCCTGAAGCTAAAAATGCCCTCCTACATGCACATATCATTGGCCATAATAGTGTTTGCTCCACTGTTGTCTCATTCCATCAGTACCAGCATGATCAAAATGCTGCATGTTAGCCCTATGACTGATGATCACAGGTCCCGGAGGCCTTTAGCTTTCTTGGCCTGTGGAAGAGGTGGTCTTGTATGAAAGGACTTGTGCCTTTTCTATTTACAGTAAGAAGTTTAGGTTTCAAAACCCTGACCTAATCCAGTGCACCAAATATTCCAACACTTGATTTTTTTCTTTTCCCCTATTTCTTTGTTTCTTCTTCTAGTCATTAGATCTGTGCCTTACTGAGTTTTTCATGGCTACATTTTTCTTTTTTTGTAACCTCATAATCCCCTTTACCTCTTTTGCCCATCTGCCCCACCTTCCTCCCCCGTGGTAGTAACCAGTTTGTTTTTTTGTATTTATGAATCAATTTCTGTTTGGTTTGGTTTGTTCCAGATTTCCCATATAAGTGAAATCCTATGTCTTTATCCGTGGCTACACTGTTCTTGAAAAATGAAAGTTCCAGGCTAACTAATAGGTTAGGGTGCCCTTCGAGAAGAAATCGAGATTTAATAGATTTGTTCCTGTCAATGAAGTTTCAAAAACTGTACGAATCCTCCAAAATAAAATGAGAAAATTTTTTTAAAAATTTTTAAAAAAAGGTGGGGAGAGAGTAGTTGAACTGGTTTAGAATAGTGGAGGGAGATAAAGGAGGATTTTTACTAAGAGAATAGGAGGCTTATTAAAGTCTACTCTAGAATTTCTTTTTGATAATACCAAAGAGACTAGCTTATTACAGTAGTTTTTTCCTCTTGATCTACATTGACCCACCAATGATACCAAGGCATATTACTTGTAGGGTTTAATTTCTTCATTTCTACACGCATTCATTTCTACTCTGTTTAATAAATTATTTTGACCTTTTTACATGCCTGTTAACATTTTTGGAGATGGCATATCTGGTCTTCAGAAATTAATGCAAAAGGAGGTATCATAAGCTTAGCACTCTGGATGCTTGAGTAGCCTTTATGCAAGGATCTTTGCTTTAAAACAGAGAGCATAAGAGCACATTTATTTCAGATATGTTCGTTTATTGAATGTAAGACTCTTTCCTGAACAGTGAGATGTACAAAATGATCTGAGTTAACACGTCTACTTTTTAAAAAACTGCTGCTGGGGCGCCTGGGTGGCTCGGTCGGTTAAGCGTCCGACTTCGGCTCAGGTCATGATCTCACGGTCCGTGAGTTTGAGCCCCACGTCAGGCTCTGTGCTGACTGCTCAGAGCCTGGAGCCTGTTTCCAATTCTGTGTCTCCCTCTCTCTCTGCCCCTCCCCTGTTCACGCTCTGTCTCTCTCTGTCTCAAAAATAAACGTTAAAAAAATTTTAAAAACAAACAAAAAAACTGCTGCTATGAACATTCGTGTACATGTATCCTGATGTCCACAGGACGTATTTCTCTAGGAAGGGAGTGGGAGTAGAATTATTGCATCTCAGCGTATGTGTTACTTCAACTCCTGTCTAAAGGTTTATACTCCCACCAGCAGGTAGGAAGGTTCCTGTTGCTCTGCGTCCTCACCAACTCTTGGTACTGTCAGACTTTAAATTTTTTGCTAATCTCGGATACAGGTATAGTGGTAGCTCCTAGCATTTTAATGCGCATTTCCCTGTTTACAAATGAAGATGAACAGCTCTCTCTAAATGTATTTGACATCTGAGTTCCTACTTTGTGAACTCCCTGTTTAAGATTTTGTTTACTTTTCTTTGGGACTTCTGTCCTTTTAATTTTCCCACTCATTTGTAGGAATTCTTTGTATATGAAGCCTTGATCAGGTTTGTATCACCAACACCTTCTACTCTGTGACTTACATTCTCACTCTCTAAATAGAAGTTTTGATGAATCAAAGTTTTTCATTTTAACCTAATCAATGTTTACCTTTATAATTGGTGATTTCAGGTTCTGACTTAAGAAATCTTTGTCAGCCTCAAAGTCATAAAGATATTCTCCTACATTACTGTACTGTCCACTAGGACATAAGAAATGTGTGTGGTCTGTTTCTGAGCTCTCTCTTTTGTTCCATTGTTCTGTCTATTCTTGTGCCGATAGCATGCTATCTTAACTTAGCATTAGGCAGACCTCAATATTTGATAGAGCACAGCTTTTCATTTTGTTGTTCTTGTTCTAGGATGCCTGGATATTCTTGGCCATTTGAAATTTTATATAAATTTTGTCATCAGTTTGTCAAGTTACACGCACAAACCCACATGTACTCACACACAACATACATATACTAACACATAACCTTTGGGGATTTATACACTGAATTTATACACTAAATCTGTAGATAAATTTGGGCAGAGTTTAAATCTTTACGATATTGAATCCTCCATGAAATATGTGTGTATTATATTTAGGTCTTCTTTAATTTTTCCCAATATTCTAATTTTCTTTGTGGAGACCTTATACATCTTTTATGTTAGACACATTCCTAGGTGCTGATGTTTTCCATACTATTGTAAATGGTAACTTTTTAAAGTTTCATTTTCTGGGGGCGCCTGGGTGGCGCAGTCGGTTAAGCGTCCGACTTCAGCCAGGTCACGATCTCGCGGTCCGTGAGTTCAAGCCCCGCTTCGGGCTCTGGGCTGATGGCTCAGAGCCTGGAGCCTGTTTCCGATTCTGTGTCTCCCTCTCTCTCTGCCCCTCCCCCATTCATGCTCTGTCTCTTTTGTCCCAAAAATAAATAAATGTTGAAAAAAAAAATTTTTTTTTTAAATAATAAAATAAAAAAAATAAAGTTTCATTTTCTAACTATTGCTAATACATAAAAATGCAGTGAATTTTTTTGAATAAAAACCTTGCCATACTTTTAAATTACTTCTTACAATTGATGCTTACATTATTTTGTATTGTATACACAAGCAATCATATCATCTAGGAATAAATATAATTTTCTTTCTTTCCTTCCACATGTTATACCTTTCATTCTTTTTTTCTTGCCTAAGCAGTGGCTAGTACAGTGACAAATAGAACCGATGATAGTGGGTAACATTTCCTCATTCCCAGTCTCAAAGAAAAAGTTCTAAAATATCAGTTAATATGCCTTGTAGGGTTTTTTTAATAGACATTTTTTAATCACATTAAGAAAATTCTTGGGGCACCTGGGTGGCTCAGTTGGCTAAGCATCTAACTTCTGCTCAAGTCATGATCTCACGGTTCGTGAGTTCGAGCCCCATGTCGGCCTCTGTGCTGCCAGCTCAGAGCCTGGAGCCTGCTTCAGATTCTGTGTCTCCCTCTCTCTCTGCCCCTCCCCGGCTCTCACTCTGTCTCTCTGTCTCTCTCTGTCTCTCTCTCTCTCAAAAATAAATAAGCATTAAAAATTTTTTTTAAATAAAATTCTTTTATAGTGTTCATTCAATGTTTTTGGATGAGTACATGTTGAATTTCATCAAATTCTTTTCTGCATCATTTTTTGAGAAGATAAGATTTTTATATCTGTTAATACAGTGAATTATATTGACTGATTTTCTAATGCTAACTCAACTCTGCATTCCTAGGATAAACCCATCTTCATCCTAAATTATTATCCTTTTTCTGTATTGCTGGTGTTAGCTTGTTAGTATTTCTTTGGAATTTTTGCATCTTAGTTCGCAAATGAGACTAGCTTGTCATTTTTCTTCCTTATAACATTCACATCAAACTTTAGCATAAAGGTTACCCTAGCCCCTTAACATGAGACAGGTAACATACCTTCATTTTGTGTTCTCTGGAAGAGTTTGTAAGAGTGAATTACAGCTGGGGCACCTGAGGCACCTGGGTGGCTCAGCTGGTTGAGCATCTGACTGTTGATTTCAGTTCAGGTCATGATTTTGGTTCAGATCGTGATTTCACGGTTGTCAGATCGAGTCCCATGTTGGGCTCTGTGCTGACAGAGCAGAGCCTGCTTGGGATTCTCTCTCCCTCTCTTTCTCTCTCCTCCCCAACTTGTGCATGCTCTCTCTCTCAAAAATAAATAAACCGTAAAGAAAAAAAAAAAGGAGTAAATTACAACTATTTCTTCTTTAATAATTATAAGACCTCATTTCTGAATCCTTCTGATTCTAGAGTTTTATTTTGGGAAGATTTTCAATTACTGATTCAGTTTCTTAATGGTTATAAGAAGTCACACATATACCAAAGTATGTTTTATTTGGTATATGTGTATATTTTATTTTGGTATATTTTATTTTTATAGAAATTTGGTATATTTTATTTTTATAGAAATTTTTTTCATTTAAATTTTCAAAATTTTTATTAAAGTCAGTCATCAACTTTTAAAAATAGAGATGGCCCTTTTCATTTTCTTGATGCTAAATAACCTGTGATTTAAAAGAGGTTGGCAAAGACCAGACCATAGAAGGCCAGGCAAGCTGCTGGGATTTGTTTCCAGAGTTTCAGGAAGCCTGAAAGATTTAAGCAGTGGAGTGAATAGTTCAATCTATGTTTTCAAAAGAACACTTTGAGGGCGCCTGGGTGGCTCAGTCGGTTAAGCGTCTGACTTCGGCTGGGGTCATGATCTCGCGGTCCGTGAGTTCGAGCCCCGCGTCGGGCTCTGTGCTGACTGCTCAGAGCCTGGAGCCTGTTTCAGATTCTGTGTCTCCCTCTCTCTCTGATCCTCCTCCTCCCTCTCTCTGTCTCAAAAATAAATAAACGTTAAAAAAAAAAATTTAAAAGAACACTTTGGCTGCATTGTAGAGAACAGATTAGAAGGGCGTAAAAATGGAAGTGGCAGAACCATGTCATTATTGCAACAACCAAGGCTGGAGACCGTGATGTTGGAGACGAGGGTGGTAGACACTGATGGGCCGATGCAAGACGTGTTGTGGAGGGAGCAGGACAGCAAGTGCCGAAGGGGCTCAGGATGGGAAAGGAAGACTCAGGATCACTTTGAGACTGCTGGCCTGAACAAAACCTTGGATGGAGGCATCATTTATTGAAATCAGGAAGACTGAGAGAGAAAAATCATTTTTGATATGGACAGAATCAGGGAGTTTTATTTTGGCAGTTCCAGGCACAAAGATGGTATTTCAAATTGTGACAGTGAACTGGGGAAGGAATGATCAACTCTCAAAGCCTGGGAGAGTCCAGTGATATTTAGAAGCTGGGCAGCATTAGAAGAGTCTCCACAAGAGACCGGGAAGGAACTGCAAAGAGATGCAAGCAAACCAGGAGAGTTTGGTATCACAGACTCCATGATAATTTTCTGAGACAGAGGGAGTGAATGCTACCTAAGAGGTCAGTTGTCCACTGGATTCATTTTGGCAGTGGGGACATCAGTAGTGCCCCAGCATAAATAGTTTCATGGAGGAGTGGGAATGAAAGCCAGCTTGCAGTAGATTTTTAAAAAAGGATGGAAAATGTTTAGACCATGCCTGTGTAGAAACATTAGGAAAATTCCTCTGTCCAGCGGCCATCTGGCAAACCTTACCGACACAAGACAGCTCTGGGGAGTTAATCATCCATGTGACACTGGTTATTTGTCAGCTCTTAGGGGACTGCACTGCTTGGAAAAGTGCTTATCCTGGCTCATGTTCATGTTCTTTGCACGCTTATTTCTATCACTCTTGTTTATTCCCCTCCTCGAGATCAAAACTGAACTAAAGCAGGCCCAGCAGAAGTTATTAGATGGTACAAAGATGTGCTCTTCACTCACGGCAGAATGGAAGCACGGTCAGCAGAAAATCAGGGAACTGGAGCTGGAGGTACTTAAACAGGATCAGAGCATTAAATCACAGGACAACCTGAAGGAAAAGCTGGCTCAAGAGAAATCAAAAGTCGCTGATGCAGAGGAAAAGGTAATTATCCTCATGCTTAGTAAGTACCATATGCTGGATGCCAGTACTAAAATCCTGTTTCCCTAAGGATTTAGGAAGTAGGTATGATGCACACTTCATAGAATTCCAGGGTTTTTCTGTGCTCTTCCATGCTTTCCTCTCTTTTGACTTCACCTGCTCCTGCAGTTCCAGTAAATCTCATATTTCTTTAAACTGCATGAACTTGAAAAGGTAAGGGTCTGTAAAGCTATGGCATGAACTTAAAGTAACTGACTGAAACCATACGACTTTTGTTTTATACTTTCAACTTTTAAAAGACTTATTCTCCTCTCCTTTGGATTGTCTCTCTCTATGGTTTTTATTTTACAATTTGGGGGTGGATTCGTGTTGTGAAATGAACCATTTTGAAATAATGCCCCTGCATTTTAGATTCGCTAACACCAGGTGGCAGTAGTACGCAACAGTTGCACATTTTGATCTGTGGGTTTCAGTCAAATCTCACGTAAAAAATAAATCCTTAAATAAATAAATAAATAAATAAATAATGTAATCCAACAGTATAAATATGAAACAAACATCAAAAAGCAGATGACAGCCATCTTTATTATGCTCAAAAGCCTAATTTTGAGCTAAAGAAACCAGAACAAAAGACTTCATACTATGTAATTTCATTTGTAAGAGGTTCAAGAAGAGACAAAACTAAACAGATGAACATAAGGGAAGGGAAGCAAAAATAATATAAAAACAGGGAGGGGGACAAAACATAAGAGCCTCAAACATAGAGAACAAACAAAGGATTGCTGGAGGGGTTGGGGGGGCGGGCAATGGGCCAAATAGGTAGGGGCATTAAGGAATCTACTCCTGAAATCGTTGCATTATATATGCTAACTAACTTGGATGTAAATTAAAAAATAAATAAATTATTTACAAAAAAAAAAGAATGACAAAACTAAGCTACGGTCAGAGGATGTTGGTTGTCTTTATGAGGGTTATTAACTGGGAGAGGATGTCTTTCATGGTGCTGGGAGCATTCTTTATCTTAGCATGGGAAGTGGTTATATAAGTAACTTCATTCAGTATGCTTCAAGATATATGCACTTTATGTATGTTAGTACTCCATTAAAAAAGTAGTTGGCTGGGGCGTCAGGGTGGCTCAGTTAAGCATCTGACTCTTGATCTTGGCTCAGGTCATGATTTCACAGTTCATGGAAGTCAGCCCCAGATCAGGCTCTGTGCTGACAATGCAGAGCCTGCTTGGGATTCTCTCTCTCTCCCTCTCTCATGACCCCCCCCCGCTCATGCTCATGCTCTCCCTCTTTCAAAATAAATAAACTTAAAAACAAGAAGTAGTTGGTAAAACTGATACAGATTAGTAAAAAACTCTAAATTTAGACAGTACTAAATACTGGTGAGGATTTTGTGCAACAGGGACTCATATATTGACTGCAGTTGGAAGAGTAAATTAGCATAAACACTTTGGAAAGCAATTGGCATTTGCATCTAGTTAGGTTAAAGACGTGTGTATCATACAACCCAATGCTTCTACTACTGGGCATAAATACTAGAAAAAGTATTATACTGCACAGAGGTATCAGGAGACAGGAATACAATCATTTTTGTAGAAATATTGTTCCAAATAGCAGAAAATTGGAAGCAACCCAAACGTCCCCTGACATAATATCAAATAAATAAACTGTATATTTACACAATAGCATACAACAGTGAAAATAAATGAATTACAGGTACATGCTGTAGTTCAATATATAGTGAATGAAAAATCAGGGGCACCTGGGTGGCTCAGCTGGTTAAGCGTCCGACTCTTGATTTTGGCTGAGGTCATTATCTCACAGTTTGTGAGTTCAAGCCCCATATCGGTCTCTGCACTGGCAGTGTGGAGCCTGTTTCGGATTCTCTCTCTGCCCCTCTCTTGCTCGTATTCTCTCTAAATAAATAAATAAACAAATAAACATTTTAAAAAATCACCAAAAACACGGTATGATTTCATTGATTCAGAGGTCAAAATTATGTAAAGGAAAAGCCATGTTACACAGATTATATATTAAAGAAAAAGCAAGGAAATGATTAACCCAAAACTCAAGATAATTGGTTTTCTCAAGTGAGGAGGGAAGGGGGATAATTGACAAGGTCCCAGAGTACACTTTAAAAGTATTGGAAATGTTCTTTTCTTAACTGGGTGACAGGTTCAAAAGTCTGCATATGTCCCTGATAGAGAAGCCAATGGGGTGGTGATATTTGCCTCTGTGGAATTAAGAGTGAATATCTTTAAGGAAGCATTTTCTCTTTGTAGGACTAAACAGGGGCAGCTCAAAGGAACTTGAACTGGCCGTGGATGACTGGCCGCCCACTGCCATTGCCCTCGAATCATTCTGCATTTCTGCATCTTCACCTCTCCTATAGTTTGTGGGCTCTGCCAGGACCTAGGGCTGGTGCACAAAGCCCTGCTCTTAAAAAGGGGGCTGCCGTGCACTGGCGTTCACGAGTGTTTGTGGGGACTGTGGTGCCAAACCCTCATAAAGAATGCATTTTTAGATCAGGAATACATTCAGGAGACAATAGCTATTCTGCTAAGAACTACTCATTCAGCAGATATTTATTGAGCATCTACTATGTACCAGTCACAACTTAGGGTGACACAAAGGTTCATAAAAATATGTAAACAAATTAAAAGGATACTTATCTAATAAAAAAATGTTTTAATGAAGCTTTTAATCTAACATGTAAATTCTAAAATAAAATTATACATCTCTCTTTCAAATTCATAAATCTTATTGTTAGTCCTACCAGTGCATTAAAGAGCATATTACTGGTGCGAGGTGATATGCTAACAGGAACTCGATTTGTAAGAGACTCCTACTTCGTTTTAAGATCTTATCCTGAATCTAGTCACACTGTGGAGAAACTAGACACATTCCTACATTGCTGTTGGAAGTGTAAATTGGCCTAATACCTATGGAGTCAGCTTGGCATTATCTATTAAACAAACAAATAATAGTAATCTTTGCCCTAGCAAACCCACATCTCGTAATGTATTCTAGAGATTTGTTGGTAATAGCAAAAGATTGGAATCAGTTTAATTGTCCATCAGTAGGGGTCTACTTAAATAAGTTATAATATATCCTTATATATGCAGCTGTAAAAGAGAGGGCGATTCTACATAAACATATAATATGGAAAAATCACCAAGTGTATTTTTATTTACAAAAAGCAAGCTGCGTAAGTATATATGGTATGCCATCATTTGTGTAAAAAATATGTATATGAAGGAGAACTGTATAATAGTATTTATTTATATAGGCATAAATAAATCCCTGGAAGGGTACGTAAGAAACTAATACCAGTAATTGTGTATTTAGTGGAGGAAAAGTGGCAGGAAGACAGGATAAAGATGGGAAGGAGTTTTCACTGCATGGCTTCGTTTACCCAAACATACATTAAACTACGCGAATGTATCATGTAGTGTAAAACTTAGGTAACTTATTTTAAAATTAAATCTAGCCACATTCTCTGCTTTAGATCAGATTTGTTTGTTAGCACTATGTTTGCTAGTTACTCATCCAGCATTTCCCTGATTGGAAAAAAAAAAGGTCATGCTTAATGTTTTATTTGTGAAATTTTTCCTTCAAGATTTTGGATCTGCAGCAGAAATTAGAATATGCTCATAAAGTCTGTCTCACAGACACTTGTATTTCGGGAAAGAAGCAACTGGAGGAAAGGATAAAGGAAGCACTAGAAAATGAAGCTAAGACAAAGCAACTATATCAGGAGGAACAACAGAAGAGGTAAGAGGAGCAAAGATGTCAGTTTCCCATGGGCCAACCTGATTGAGTTTAGCAGGAATGTCAGTTTACGGATGTATTTCCTCTGTGTTCCCACTGCAGTGAACTACATTACATAACTTCTTGTATATAGCACTCGTTACACTGTATTCGAATTGTTTTTCCTGTTTGCCTTTCACAAAAGAGTGTCAGATTCTTAAGGGCAGGGTTTATTTCTCGTTGCTCTGAGCCGGGTGCACGGGGTGCACGAGTAAATTTTCTTGAATGACTGACTAGATTACCTATGAAATATGATACTCTGGGCTTTGCTTTTCCAACTCTCACATGATTGGCATAAACTGCAAACTAAAGGAAATCGATTTTTGTATTTATCACCTGATTTCCTTGAAAGAAATTCCAAGTACTTTACAGACCTCTTAATCATCAGTAATCTGTCACCAAATAGGAGCTTTCATTTTTTTCTAAAATTATTATGATTACTATTAGAATTCTTACTTAAATGATCTTCCTGGATGCCCTAAACTTCAGTAACTGATGCTTCTTATTTCTATGGCACTGAAGAGTGAACCACATATGTTTTAAGAAAAATATGGTTTTAGCCACTGAAAAGACATGCAGACATTCACATATATAATGAAGCTCAGAAATTTATTTTCAGCTTTAGCTAAAAGCTCTAACATCAGCCCTGGCACTAAAAGGTACTCAGTAAATACTTAGTGAATGAATAATGTGTAAGTAAGTAAATGAATGAACGTATGAATGAATAATGAGCTCACTCAGGGAAGTACAGTAGAAAAATACTTGTCTCACTGCTACAGCTAACAGGATGGCAGACCATCCTGTTGTAATACACCTAGATCCTGAATAAACTATAGTAAGTAAACCTTTTAAGTGTTGCCCACAATAAAGCAAGAGAAAGTGCTAAGAGCAAACATACAATAGGCTACAACAAAAATGATGAATGGGGCAAACAAGCTTCTAAGTCAGGGGGCAAATAATAATATCAGCCCCAGGTTTGAGAGAAGGAGCTGAGGAAGTTTGCCCCAAGGGGGAAGAGGTGAACTAGAGATTCTAGAGATTCTAATATTAAAGCTGGGAAGCTTGAAGGAGCTGGAGTGTTCCCAAACAGGCAGCCCCCTGGCTTTCCCAAATTATCTCTGGAGGAAAACAACCCCAATTTTGATATTAAAGATTCCCATATTTTTTTTAATTTTTTTTTTAATGTGTATTTATTTTTGAGACAGAGAGAGACAGAGCATGAACGGGGGAGGGTCAGAGAGAGAGGGAGACACAGAATCCGAAGCAGGCTCCAGGCTCTGAGCTGTCAGCACAGAGCCCGACGCGGGGCTCGAACCCACGGATGGTGAGATCCTGACCTGAGCCGAAGTTGGACGCTTAACCGACTGAGCCACCCGGCGCCCCTAAAGATTCCCATATGTTAAGTTTAGTCAAATGTAAGCTTACAATGAAAAATCAGCAAATAACACAAGGAAGCTGGCTACCATAAATGATAGTCGGTAGAAACAACAAACACCAGAGTTGTAACCCCCAAGAACTCCAGCAGCTGGGATTATGAATAATAGATTGCAAAACAACTCTATGAAGTTTTTAAAGAAACACAATATGAAGGAACCCTCATACGCTGTTGGTAGGAATGTAAATTGGTGCCGCCACTGTGGAAGACAGTATGGAGGTTCCTCAAACAATTAAAAATAAAACTATCATATGATCCAATAATTCTACTACTGGATATTTACCCAAAGAAAATGAAAAAAACATTAATTTGAAACGATACACACATTCCTATGTTTATTGCAGCATTATTTATAATAGCCAAGATATGGAAGCAATCTGCATGCCCACTAGTAGACAAATGGATAAGGAGGATGTGATGTGATGTGTGTGTGTACCATACATAATGGAATATTATGCAGTCATAAAAAAGGATCCGATCATGCCATTTGCAACAAATTGGATGGACCTGGAGTGTATTATGCTAAGTGAAATAAATCAGACTGAGAAAGAGAAATACCATATAACTTCACTCATGTGTGAAATCTAAAAAAAACAAATGAACAAACAAAAAGCAAAATTGGACCTATAAATACAGAGAACAAATTGAGGATTGCCAGAGGGAAAGGGGGTAGGGACATGGGCAAAATGGGTGAAGGGGCGTGGGAGATAAAGGCTTCCAGTTATGGGATGGATAAATCATAGGAATAAAGCAGCATAAGGAATATAGTCAATGGTATTGTGATCGCATTGTATGATGACAGACTGTAGCTACACTTTTGGTGAGAACAGCATAATGTATAAACTTGTTGAATCACTATGTTGCTATGTTGTACACCTAAAACTCATGTAATATTGTATGTCAACTATAAGTAAAATAACACAATTAAAAAATAACTCAAAGAAAAACATTTTTTAAAAAGGGACAAAAGATGTAATTCAAGAATTGAACAAGGAAAAAGGCTATTCAACTTTCCTGAAACTAGGTTTTTTGTGTCTAAAGTGGGATTAGTAATACCAGCTCTATGCATCTTCTGTGAAGCCTGGCTGAGATGAAATATGTTGAAGTAATATTTAAGCTAGCTATAAGAAAATGGAATACTGTAGGGTAGGGAAATTCTTCTCTACAAAACGAATAATATAGTATACATTGTTTCAAAACCTGGAGGGAAGCAACTCCAATTTAGATACTTAGATTATAACCTACTTTTTTCACTGTTCTGTTTATCTTCTTTTAAATCTTCTAGAACATTATTTTCACAATGTATCATAATGAATTTAATCCGTTATTGCTGGATATTTACATTTTCCCCAGTTTCTTGCTATAATAAACAACGATATAATATTTTATCCTTGTAGTCAAATTTTTGTGCACATCCTTTACTACTTCCTTGGAATAAATTCTAGCAAGTACAATTGTAATTATAACTACTTATATGAAATTTAAATTATTAAAGAGCTATATAAAATAAAAAGCATAAATCCTTCAGATTTCTGTTCTTTGGCAGTAACCACTTCAAGTGATCAGATTTTTTCTATACATATGCATATATTTTTTGTTGTTCTTATTTTGTTAACAGAAGTTGAGCCATTTAAATTATATTGCTTTGGAACTTGCCTTTTTCACCTAACAATATTACATGGGCAACCTTTTAGCCACTTAAGAGTTACAAAATCTTAGATAAGTTTATCTTTTCAGTGCCTGTCTGTACCAACTTCATAAGATCATTGTGCGGATTGCATGAGTTATAAGTGGTTGGTTGGCTTATATTATGAGTATATGGCACATAATAAGCACTTGTATCAGTCCAGGTTCAATCAGAATAGAACTAGTAGGAGAAATATATGTTTAGTAAGAGATTTGGTATGGGGATTTGCTCTTTTTTTTTTTAAGAGAGAGAGCACACACAAGCTGGGGAGAGGGGCAAAGGGAGAAAGAGAGGATCTCATGCAGTTTCCACATTCAGCACAGAGCCCTATGGGGGCCTTGATCCCACAACCCTGGGATCATGACCTGCTCAGAAATCAAGAGTCAGAAGCTCAACTGACTGAGCCACCCCGGCGCCCCAGGGGTTTGGTGTCTCATGCAGTTGTGAGCAGGGCTGGCTACACAGCCTGTCAGGCTGTCTTCATTCGTCTTATGCTGGAGCTTGAAGTCCACTCAGGAAGTGAAGATGGTACCACGGGAGGGAGAGCAATGTCAAGCTAACCCTATGAGCACAGGATGAACCCATGTCAGTTCTCCCTACCTCCAAACCTGATAAAGTAGGCGTCCTGCAGGAGAAGATGGCCCCCTCATCAAGGACCTAAACGGACACCTGGCCCAGGAGCTGGGGAAGGTGAAGGAGGACCCGAGGGAAGGTGGAGAAGTTGCAGGCCTGGCTGTTGCCTCATGCAGAGGTGAGCAGCAGATACCTGGTGATGGGGATGAGCTACAAAAGCACTTGGTCCGACTTTCCAAGTGTAAAATCCAAACCGCTTCACTTCCGCCCTCCACCCCCTGCACCAGTAAACTGTACGTCTTGTAGCCCACTCTAATCAGAAACATACACGGAGGTCATGCCTAGCCAAGCTGACACACTACCAGCCACTACTAAAAAGGTGCTGTTATTATTCTTGCAATATTTTATGTTATTTTTGTTACTATTGCCATCATCATCTTCAGTAAAGTGAGAAATGTTCATTTTTGCCAGAACAAAATGTTTGGGGATGAGGGAAGTATCGAGAAAAGGAGGCTAGAAAGGTAAGCTTGACCTGGGTCCTGCTGGACCTAACAAGCCACATAAAGGACCTTGGACATGTTCATGGAAGACACTGGTCCACAGCTTTTGTTTCCTGTAAGGTCTAGATCTGGTTTTGGTATTAGGGTGATGCTGGTGTCATAGAATTGAGTAAGTGTCCCCTCTTCTTTGCTTTTTCTGGAAGAGATTGCAAAGAATTGCTATCATTCCTTTTCCTCCTCCTCCTCCTCCTCCTCCTCCTCCTCCTCCTCCTCCTCCTTTTTAAAAATGTTTACTTATTTATTTTTTGAGAGCGAGAAAGTGCAAGTGTGAACAGGGATGGGGGCCAGAGAGAGAAGGAGAGAGAGAATCTCAAGTAGGCTCCACACTGTCAGAGCGGAGCCTGATGCGGGGCTCAATATCACAAACTGTAAGATCATCACCTGGGCCAAAATCAAAAGAGTCAGGAGCTTAACAGATGGAGCCACCCAAGTGCCCCAATATTGTTTCTTCTTTAAACGTTTGGTTGATGGGGCACCTGGGCGGCTCCGTTGGTTAAGCATCCGACTTCAGCTCAGGTCATGACCTCGCGGTCCGTGACTTTGAACCCGCGTCAGGCTCTACGCTGTCAGTTCAGAGCCCGGGGCCTGCTTCGGATTCTGTGTCTCCCTCCCTCTCTGCCCCTCCCCCATTTATGCTCTGTCTCTCTCTGTCTCTCAAAAACTGAACAAATGTTAAAAAAAAATTTTAATAAATAAATAGAAATAAACGTTTGGTTGAATTCACCAGTGAAATCACCCGGGCTTACTGCTCTATTTTTGGAAAGTTATTAAATATTGATTTAATTTCTTTAATAGGTATAGGCCTATTCAGAATATCTATTTCTCCTTAAGAGCTGTTAGATTGTGTCTTTCAATGAATGAGTCCATGTCAGACAAGTTATCAGATGTGTAGGCATAGAGGGGCGCCTGGGTGGCTCACTCAGTTAAGTGTCAGACTTCAGCTCAGGTCATGTGAGTTTCTGCTCGCGGTTTGTGAGTTCCAGTCCCGCATCAGGCTCTGTGCTGACAGCTCAGAGCCGGGAGCCTGCTTGGGATTCTTTGTCTCCCTCTTTCTCTGCCCCTCCCTTGCTCATGCTCTGTTTCTCTCTGTCTCAAAAATAAATAAAAACATTAAAACAAAAATTTTAGGGGCGCCTGGGTGGCGCAGTCGGTTAAACGTCCGACTTCAGCCAGGTCACGATCTCGCGGTCGGTGAGTTCGAGCCCCGCGTCAGGCTCTGGGCTGATGGCTCAGAGCCTGGAGCCTGTTTCCGATTCTGTGTCTCCCTCTCTCTCTGCCCCTCCCCTGTTCATGCTCTGTCTCTCTCTGTCCCAAAAATAAATAAAACGTTGGAAAAAAAATTAAAAAAAAAATTAAAAATTTTTAAAAATGTGTAGGCATAGAATTGTTCAAAATATTCCTTTATTGTCCTTTTAATGTCCATAGGATCAGTTGTGATGGTTCCTCTTTCATTTCTGACATTAGTAAATTGTGCCTTCTTTGTTTCTTGATTAGCCTGGCTAGCGGTTTGTCAATTTCATTGATCTTTTCAAAGAACCAGTTTCATTATATTTCTCTATTGTTTTCCTGTGTTCAATTTCACTACTTTCTGCTCTGATTTTTGTTACTTCTTTTCTTCTGCTTTCTTCAGGATTATATTGATCTTCTTTCTCTAGTTTCCTAACATGGAAGCTTAAATTATTGATTTTTGATCTTTTCTTTTATAATATTTGCATTTAGTGCTGTTAAGTTTCCCTCTATGCACAGCTTTTGTTGCCTCTCACAAATTTTGTAAGTTGTATTTTCATTTTCATGTAAAATATATATAATTCATATTTTTAAAACTTCTCTCAAGACTTCTTTGACATGTATTATTTATAAGTATGTCGTTTAATCTCCAAATATTTGAGGATTTTCCAGCTATCTTTCTGTTATCGATTTTTAGTTCCAAAATATTATTTTAAACAGTTGTGTGGCATTCTGTAACACAGATATATTATAATTTATGTGAAATGCTTTTTAGATATTTTTGCTGTTACAAATAATGATGTAACAAATATCCTTGTACATAGACTTGATGATAAGTGTTATACAAAGGGAGGCTTAGGATGCTGTGATAGTGCATAGCAGAGACACCTCGTCTGGTCTGGGGAACTCAAGAAAGCCTTCCTCAAAGAAAGCTATTCAAGCTGAGTGAGAGGTATTTGGGATGGATGGCTAAAAGAGAGTATTAAGGAAAGGAAGGTCTGGAAGAGGAAGATAAGGAAAAGGAGCTGTAAGGAAGGAATAAGTGTAGAAGATGACTTATTTCAGGAAGTGAAAAAAAGTTCATTTTGCCTGGAGCAAAATGCTTGGAGGTAGAGGGAGGGCAAGAGAAAGAGGCTAGAAGGGTAAGCTAGCTCACAAGCCATATTGAAGTGTTCGGACTACATGATACGATGAGATTGGTTTAGAAGGACCACTCTGATTGCTATATAAGGGATAGATTGAAAGAGAGGTTAAGGCTATTGGGGAGACAGAGAGTTTTATCAATCCACTGATTTCTTAATTTCTTTTTCCTTTTTTGGCTGGGTATAGTATATGTTATTGATGGTAATGACAAGGTAGGGTTCCCCAAGTCCCTCCCCTTCTTCAGGAGGCCTAGGATAGAAACTGTGGAGGTCAAATGATTCTCAGTGTGGTAAGGGATGCATTGGGGCAATGACTCCCCAACAGTCCTTCCTCTTGCTCTCGCTGGGACTGGTGGTCCAGGAGGCTCTTACTCCTTGGAGGCCATGTGGACCCTAAGGTCTGCCACCCAGTTGGTGTAGCCAAATTCATTGTCACACCAGGAAATGAGCTTGACAAATTCGTGACTAAGAGCAATGCCAGCCCCAGCATCGAAGATGGAAGAGTGGGTGTCACTGTTAAAGTTGCAAGAGACAACCTGGTCCTCAGTGTAGCCCTGAATGCCCTTGAGGGGACCCTCCAATACCTGCTTCACTTTGTCATATTTGGCAGCTTTCTCCAGGTGGCAGGTCAGATCCACAACTGATGCATTATGGGTAGGGACACAGAAGGCCATGCCAGTGAGCTTTCACTCAGCTGGGATGACATTGCCTACAGCCTTGGTGGCACCAGTAGAAGTAGGGATGATGTTCTGGGCAGCCCACGGCCATCACACCACAGCTTCCCAGAGGGGCTGTCCGTGGTCTTCCAAAGGGCAGTGATGGCATGGACTATGATCATAAGTCCCTCCACAATGCCTAAAGTCGTCATGGATGACCTTGGCCAGAAAGGCCAAGTGATTTGTGGTGGAGGAGGCATTGCTGACAATCTTGAGGGAATTGTCGATTTTCTCATGGTTTATGCCCATCACAAACATGGGGTCATCAGGAGAAGGGGCAGAGATGATGACCCTCTTGACCCCACCCTTCAAGTGAGCCCCAGCCTTCTCCAGGGTGGTGAAGACCCCAGTGGACTCCACAACATACTCAGCACCAACATCACCCTATTTGATGTTGGCGGGATCTTGCTTCTAGATGATGGAGATTGCGGATGCCTGGGTGGCTCAGTCAGTTAAATGTCCAACTTGAGCTCAGGACTTGATCTCACAGTTTGTGGGTTTGAGCCCCACATCAGGCTCTGCGCTGATAGCTCAGAGCCTGGAGCCTGCTTTGGAT